CTGTCAGATTTCAAAGAACTGCTCCCCCTCATCTTCACAGGTGTAAGAAGTCTGAAATTAACATATTTTAAAACTTTTAAATTAGACTTTTTGTTTGTTTTACTTATTCTACTTTCATCTTTCCATTTGTTCAAAGAACAGATTTCCTCTTGTACAATTTGCTACATGCTCTTCAAGAAGAGGAGGAAAAAAAAAAAAACCCAAAATCAAAATATGGACTCAATGGTCTCATCCTACTAGGTATGTCCCTAGTATGATAAATGCGTATGAGTAATATGTTCAGCTCTGGGGCCCCAAAATAAGGACATGGAGCTGTTGGAGTGAATCCAGAGGAGGGCCATGAAGATGATCAGAGGGCTGGAGCACCTCTCCTGTGAAGACAGGCTGAGAGAGTTGGGATTGTTCAGCCTGGAGAAGAGAAGGCTCTGGGGAGACCTTATAGCAGCCTTCCAGTACCTGAAGGGGGCCTACAAGAAAGCTGGAGAAGGACTGTTTACAAGGGCATGTAGTGATAGGACAAGGGGTAATGGCTTTAAGCTGAAGGAGGGGACATTTAAATTAGATATGAGGAAGAAATTCTTCACTGTGAGAGTGGTCTGTCACTGGAACAGGTTGCCCAGAGAAGCTGTGGATGTGTTCAAGGCCAGGTTGGATGGTGCTTTGGGGAACCTGGTCTAGTGGAGGGTGTCCCTGCTCAAGGCAGGAGGGTTGAAACTAGATGGTCTTTAAGGTCCCTTCTAACCCAAACCATTCCATGATTCTATGAAATTAACCTGCCTGATAGAAATACAGATTTGTAAGCAGGCAGGACTTCTTTTGTCACAAAGAAGAATTTTTTGCTAGCTCATCTTGTTTCTGTGTATCGCACTCATTCCTTGTCTATCCAGTTACTGTAAATGAGTGACCAACAGGAAAATACTTCAAGGAAATATTGAAGGAAGACATTGAGATTTCTCTCAAGTTAATAGCAGCTGCCAGTAAGCTGCCATATAAGTGAGAGTGTAACCTATGAAACCCAGTTCTGGAGCGACTGCTCCTTCAGTAAACACTGATTAAAACACCTTGGTAATAAGTTCTCCATCTGCAAAGCCCAGACAGGTTGGAGCTCTACACCCTGCATCATCCCTTATATTCTGTTCTCCATATTTAGAAAGTTAGGGACAAACCTCAAGCACCTTTAAATTCGTATTTCAAAAGTCCAACACAATGTGTGTCATCTAGATTTTATGATCAGATATAAGATAGGCCTGGAATGAGAATTACAGTTACTTGGGACTAGATTCCAGACAGATAGACTTTCAAACCTTAATCATAAGTTGTGTCCTAGTAACACAGAAATTTAGCAGCTGCCTAAGCTTAAGAGGTGCCAAAGCTCATTATACACTTCTCCGCTTTTGCGATTTAAATCTGAAGTTTCCTTAGATGTTTGCAGATCTGCTTGTCATCACTGTTAACACAGACTCGAAACCAGCCAGCGAGACATGGCTTGCAAGCATTGCTGCCTCACCAAGGTTCGGTACACAACACTGCAGCTCATTCAAGCACATATGATTCAGGCTCCCCAGGTTTTATAGCACTGCTCAAAGAGAGTCACATGGAGTCTCTAAAAACACTAGGAGTAGGTCTGAGAGCCTAACTATCCCTCTTCTGCCTGAGGCCTGCCACTCTACATTGGAAGTCAAGAGCCTTAAGTTTTGCAATTCCAGCTGCTCAGTGGAACATTTTTAATAAAGGCACGGAGAAACCTTCCGCAGACTAGTTCCCTAAATCTCTGCTTGGAGATGTTGCTGATAAAACATGAGTTTCAGGCTGAGGAAAGTAGACTCCATTCCCTAGATGTTGCTAAGTGATGTTATAATCACTTATTTCCACAGAAATGCTGGAAATGCAAACCAGAGCACAGATCCTTGTTTGAAGAACAGCTGAAACAACCTTCTTTTCACTGAACGCTCTGTGAGATATATGGGATCCCAAACACATATAGGTGCCCTCCTGGCTTTGGTTTCCAAGAGAGCTCAGAGTGCAGACAGCAGTGTATGCTGCTTCCCATTAGCTAGCTCAATTACATCTTCAAGGTCCTAAAAATGAGCCACCAACACCCTCTCCTCCAAAGAAACTCAAACAGTCCACTACAGGTAGCATTTACTGTAGTAGTTCACCAGTGGTTCAGGCAAGGCAGAAGCAATTTACAACTCTCAACACATCTTCAACATAACAATCAATCAAATTATTGGATCAACAGATCAATAAAATCCATTCTTTAAAGCTAAAAGGGTGCTAAGCTAACCCAGCTGTTACCTGATACAAGTGTAGGTCCTCTCCATTACCACAGAACAACCCAAACCAAAAAGAATACTGTCTTGCAACTGATTTAATTATTGGTGTGCCAAACCAGTATAGAAATGAGCTTTGCTTGTCAATCAGTAACTGTAGGCTACATGAACTAGGAAAGAAGGGAGGTAAGGATCACAAGTATTAATACAACAGCAGCATCATGTGGATGCATTATGAAATGTGACATATTTAATATACGTATTCCATCTTGTATATGTATGGCATTAAAAACAGTTGATCACGAAACACATCAAATTTATTATTTGGAGGGGTTGTGTGTAATAATTCAACCTTGAAGAAATGTTACAGTAAGGATTGTTGTTCCGACAAATGCTACTTCCTATAAACCTGTGGTGTATTATGAAATCTCGGCAGCACAGCGTTGTCTAATTCAGGAAGTTCTGTATTTCTCCTGCAAGTTAAAGGGCCAGCTTCTAGCTGGAAGAGCCAGTTTCCTTTCAACTAATCTATATCTCTGTAGTAGTATTCACAGTTTGCTTGTATGTTAGCAGAAGTGTGAATTAGTTTTGAGGGACCTCCTGAAATGGTTTGGTAATATGAAATAAAGCTCTCTTAGTCTATTAATCTCACTCTGAAAACCAGAATATCTACACAAGTCCAGGTTAACCAAGAAGATTTCAAATGTGTTGTCACATCTCACAAATAACAAGTATTTCTGGACAGAAGTGCAAAATCAAGTCAACTGCTTAGAAGGAAAAACATGGATTTAGGGTCAAGATTCCTGTTTCTCTCCCCCTTCCTCCCTCCCTAACCAAGATCATAAATTGCAGTCTAAGACACACCTGCTCAGCAGATGACTGGCTCTACAGGTCCCTAAGCTTGCAGGTTTCTCCCCATTTGACCTGGAACTTCCTGCGGCTCACACCTTCCAACAGAAAGCTGGAGAGGTACTACACATGGGAACAAGATAGCTAGAAAAGTGTACATAAGCCTTTAAAGAGCTCAATCCAGGAAACATGTTCAGCATGCCCATAGGATCCGGATCCTCATAGAATCTACCAAAGAAGAATGGATTGCAAGAATAACTCGGTGGTTACAGTTCAGTCAGATCTACAGAAGAGAGAGGGATGGAATCCATCTGAGTACCTACCAGTCCTAGAAAAGTGCTTGGCTGGAGCTTTTGAAGGCAAAGCTCCTGTTTTTGAAGCCATGCAGCAGTAGGGCTAAAAGAGATTTGGACTTGGGTCTTGGTATGGAAGAAGGCACCTATCTATTGCTCAGACTTTAGCCATCTAAATTTCAAAAAGGAGAGGAGAGCAGGATTGCCACCCCTGTGGCATGTCTCCTTCTATCTAAGCCTGGGCAGCTTGCTTTTAGTATGCCTTGTTTGTCACAGGGAGAGGGAAGAGACAGCAGTAGCAAGAGAGGAGATGGATAAGGCAGGATGAGACTAAGGACTCGCCGAGTCCAGCACAAGATGGCTAATTATGTTCAGTGACTGTCTTCACAACGCTCCAGTTTCAATCACTGATTTCACTTTACATTTTCACCTGACAACCGAGACTTCTTTTTTACATCTTGGAGCCTCGGTGTCTGTCACAGGTTGGCAGGTATCTCTGGAAGACCAAATTAGAAGCCATGAGACTGAGGGAATTAACTGAGCAAATTTTAGGAAATAAAGCATAACAGCTTTTAGAGATCCAGTTTGTTAATTTTAGGTTGAGGAGGTACAACCCTGATGTACAGAAACTTTTCAGTGAAGCAAAATTGCAATTTTTCTTCCTGTCTGTTGAGACTTAAAGAAATTCTTTCTGGAAGAAAATACAAAATGCAGCTGAAGAAAAATAGGCAAAAGCCCAATCTGTGCCATTAATCTGTGCTACAAATACCAACTCCTAAAATTTGTCTTGCAAAACAAGGATCAAAGTTTTAATAAAACCCAACATACTTAACTAATCAGAATTCATTTGAAGTTTTAATAATAAAATACCCATTTCTGCATGTAAACTATATCCTGCACAACATTAAAAACATGCATGCCAAAACCTAGCTATATGCTGTTCATGGCTAGCTCCTTTCTGATTGACAGTATACTTTGCATAATTCGTGAGATGAAGTTGTATTTGCTTTACACACACACACACACACACTAAAAACATAATGGAAAATGGAGGGAAAGGGAAAAGGACTGAAAATGCCAGCAGCCTAACTTACCTCTAACTTGAACACCCCAGTTAGGCAGCTAAAAAAATTAGGTGGCACAAATCTATGCACACTTGCACAATCTTATTTACATATCTAATACGTACTTCCAAGGGCAAGCTGCAAGGCCACAGTTTCTGTCTCCACTAAACAATTCAAGCTCCAGCAAATATTTGATGCAATCCTTGCTCAGCAAACATCTCAACCCACCATCTTAAGGTGCCACATAACTAACCAGAAGAAAACTGGCTTATTACCAGCAGCCATCTTACTAATTATTTATTCATTTGGTGAATACAGAGTGATACTATACTTCCCCAAGATAGATCACACTTAACCATACATACGAAGGACCGGATCTGCTGTGTGGGGTGCCACAAACCTGTGAAATGAGCAGGTAAAGTCAAAGAGTGAATTCCCATGAACGAATGTGAGAAAAATACCTTGAATGGGGGGCACCACCATTATTAGTTTTATATAAAACATGCATAAATGCAACTTACAGCATTGTGTGATCTTCTGGATGTTAGAAGTTATGCGTTGGGCTAGTTGATTGGGATCCCCAAAACCCGCACCATACGACATGGCTGAGTAGATTTGCTTTCAAGATCATCCACGATGTAAACTAGTCAGAGAGTCTTCACCTATTAAAGACACCTAAACCCGTCCCCAGAAAACAGAGTTATGTCTTGGTCGTTGGTTTACAAAGGTCTTCATCATCTTACAGAAGAATACACAGGAAAAGATTAAAGAGAACTCCATATACTAATGTTTTCCCTTTCCAAAAACAGTACTTCAAAGATGGAATTTAAGGGAACACTTTCCTAAAAAAAGTATTAAATAAGTATATGACATCCTTTTTGAATTTTCTACAATAACTCTTACTATTAAGATCCTTAGTAATACACAGAGCTTAAGATCTGCAATTACTCAACAGCAGCTACATCACAGAAATTACATCCTTTGTCAAAACTCTTCTGTATTTTCCTCACTGCAAGCAAAGAAAAAGTATGCATTTTCACTTGTTGCCATTCCAGAAAAAAGCTGTATGTTTAACCAGTCAACGACAAATCCGCTGATAAATTATGTCCCAAACCAATTAGATGGTTATCACCCATCCCACCAATACAACCTAGCATATATAAGCCACTGGAAAAGAACCCAGCAGGTATCACATAAGATATCAGAATGAAGGAGGCACGTCATTCCCTCTAAACACCAATCATTTGCCTCAATTTCAGTTCTAGTTGTAATCCAGTTTCATATGAATTCTATAAATTGCCACTATCCTGTTTCAACTGCTGTGTTTCTCAATATGAACTCATTTTTCAACAACTTGGGTATACAAATACATTTTTAGTGGTGTTTTTTTGCACCCAGAACTACCATATCTTATCTAAAAAGGTCAAAATCTGACAACCCAAATACTCACAAATACATTTGCCCTAAAAGCACACATACACAATCCTAGAGATGTCTCAGCCTGCTTTTCACCCATATAGACCAAATTTCAGCACAAGCTCAAAGATACTCTAAATCCAAATTAACAAGACATAGCTTAGGCTACACGTGCAAATCAAAACAGTCAATTTATCTGTTTGGCCATAAGAATACAGACTAATCAAGCATACATGCATCCAACACAATCCCACAATTTCACCCAGGCTGTGCTTGTCTTAACTTGATCCTTTCCATTCCCCTGCACATCACCTTCATGGCTTCAACATTTTAATTTCACCAGCTCCCCGCACTTCTACTGTTCAACCCAAACTATGTGTCTCCCAAGCAACGTCCTCTTCTCCTCGCCTGTGAGCTTCTGGTTAACAGACACTGCTAAAACTCAGTTTCAGGGAAAATTTCAATGTTTAAATGGAAAAGAAGGAAATTAAAAGGCCAACTGATTTGTCAAGTGTGATACCAGCTGTGTACAGTTTGTAAACTCAAGTCCTTACGAACTTTTTTCAAAAAACAAACAATTAACCCTCCTTGTTGCCAAATATTTTCTTTCACCTTCGGAAATGCCTGTATTAATACAGCACAGCAACACCCTGGTTGTTTTAAAACATGACTGTTTTCATATCTCTGTGATACGAAATGATCTCTAGTGGAGCTGCCAAGACATGTTAGCGGTCAGACACATCCCACCAGAACTTCACCAGGAATATAACTAGAGAGGTCAGGCTCATCCCTGCTGCCCTGCAGGTTACATTACCTATGCTGGATGAACAAGCTGCTGCCACCGTGAAGACAAGCCCTGCAAGATTTTGAAATGGCTGCTGCACCAGGGTACCAAATCCTGCTTGGAGTCTTCAGGCCCTAGTCATGAACTACCTGATTGCAGATGAGGAGACAGGGAGTGTATTTGCACTCTTCTACGTATTTGCTGCACAACTGCCCATGAGTCATGCTAGTTCTCTGCAGTATTGTTTCCTGTCTTTGTCTGTACCACATGCAGATTCAAGATATTTTGGGTCACAGACTAAAGTCTGGAGTCAGTCAGCCAGCCGGCCTATATCCCGCTTATTTGGTCCAATTCTTGATCTTTTTGGAAACTCTAGGCAATATCGCATTGAATTTGTATTGTAAGACCAAACCCATACAAACTTTATAGCGAATAAATGACTCTATGCCTTGGTGTACTAAATAAGGAAGTTCTATCAATTTATTGGAAAATACAATTGTAAGTATAAAATCCAAAAAACTACCTAAAAGTTGTTAGTCTGACACAGAAGATTTCTCAGAACTGTTAACATTGTTTGTTTCTTTTAAAAGTTATGACTATTTCTAGATACGTTAGTAGCAAGCTAACTACAATGCTAGCACTGGCTAAAAATACTTTTTAGTTAAACATTATATTTAATGTTAAAAGTTAAACACTAAAATGCAGCTGCTTGGGAGAAGAGAGATCAAGAGACCAAACTACCTCATGTAGAAAGGCTACAGAACTAACTGTACAGTCTCTCACAATTCTTTGTTCTCCCTTCATATTTATATTCACCAGACAGCTGCCTGTAACACTGTTCTCAGCAACAGCATTACAATCAAGACACATACACAGAATATTTCATCCAAGCCTGGACAAAGCAGTGACTGAGGTTTTTTTTTTGTCTTGAAAATTTCTACAGCTAACTGTAAGTATCTTTAAATAAGTTACACCACACTGTACTGACAAATGTACAGATTGTACAATACAGAAGACTTTGAGCTTTGCAACTTTCTAGCTACATAGTTGGGCAACGAAACACAACACATAATGAGAGGATGTTCAGATGATAGATTGCAAAGTCCACAGGATATAGTTTAAATTGACAGCTGTTTTACTCCATACAAATTCTCCCACCAGCACTGTTATTTCTGAGCATGTTAATAACACAGGTTGGAAACAGGATAAGCTACTGAAAGCTACAGAAAGAGAGGTGAGGGGTCAGCCATCAGCTCTCATTACTTCCCAATCTTCACCACAAACTCCCCAAAAGTCAAGAAAAAGCAAACTGAACAGCTCTAAGAGAAGGAAAATTTTGTATCTGTTTATTATTTTTTTCAACAGAAAATGTGAACTTCTTCCTCATTCTAGTTCTCAGAGCAACACAGGCATCTGAACCGAACAAACACGCTACTTCCACTCACACATCTTTCGCTTGTTAGCGCTGAGTTACTCAAACTCCTCTGAAAACACAGATAGCTGAGCCCTTGGGAAGTCAACGGGAGTTTTGCTAATGGCTTTGACAAGGTCAGGGTTTCAACCACCAGGAAACAAAACAGACACATGCACCAAGCATTTCCTTCCATATCAAGGTGATAGGAGCATTCATTGAGACTCCGAATTTCCATAGAAATTACCCCTTTTTCATTTCCACAGCATTTAAGTACTCTGTCATGACTTATGTTGGTATTTCTGCCTGCATAACTTTTAAGATGGGAAAGTTAATAATCAGTTGCAGTTGAGGGAAGTACACTTCGCATTCAAACTGGAACCGAGCCGCATCTGTGGTAGTCTTCAGTTCCTCTAAAAGTTTCAGTCAGGTGTCAGCTTTTGATTGTACCTTTTATCTTCCACTCAACATCTCTGTCTCTGAATGGGAGTATACCGAGTGGCAACTTGGCTTGTCAAGCTACTGAAGAAAGTCTGAAGAACTGAGTCTACCGGTATGAATGAAATAAAGAATCAGAACACTTCATCAACACCCACTGAAGCAAGACCTCTCTGAACATACATGAAGTTTAAAGAATTCAAAGGATTGCTATGTATTTTTCCTAATTTCTGCATTAACTGGTTCCTGGATCACACTGTCAGTCCATACCCAAGCAAAAAATGAACCTTAGTATCATGTTTTCTTGAAAGGTGTTTGTCAGGCGTGGAAAAAATCCACTTTTTCCTTGGCGACTTCCAGTCAGATCACTGCCAAATGCAGAGACAAGAAAGTGGGACCTCCACAACCGAGCAGCTCCCCAGTGCAATTCCTGAAAGCTCTGTCAGGACAAAACAATGTGACGTGACAAGCGCAGCACATGTTAGATCTCAGCAGCAGTCACCTAAGTATCTTGCAGGTTCCAATTGGCGACAATTAATAAGTACCTAATCTATTTTGTATTTTCTCATTTAGATATTCTAAGAGTTTTCTACCTCCTATAAATCTAGCTCATATACATTCGGATAAGAATGCTTAAGCAATAATTTTACTGTTTAAGTAATGTTTTAGCATCAGGACCTAGAAATGTTTACACGGATCTTTAACTTTCAGAAAGCAAAATGTACATGCTGTGTTCCATAAAAATGTTTGAAAATTTAAATCTGATCTGAATTAGGATTTTATGCCTTTAAATATCCAGAGACAAGACATGAGGCTTTCTTGTATGTGATTATTTTTTTATATATATAAAGGTCACAGAAAAACAAAGCTTCTCCCAAACAGCTCCTAAATGTGACTTCCTTTGTAAACTACTGCCAAATCCTTCAAGCAGGGTGAAAACACAGGCAAAAATGACGAACTGCTGAAACACTTCAGCAAAAAGAATTGCAGCCAGTCACAATGTTAGCTACCGTATCACAGTAACAGCCATGATTAGTAAGATTTCTGCAATATAACATTGCTCAATCTATTTTATCTCAGTAGGTTTTACCACCCAAATACTGAGATGAGACAAGTTGCATCTACGGAGTGACTGGCACCTGCCTAAGGCAACCAAAAGCACATTACCATCTTTGGACAGCATCTGCTGCTGACTTTAGCAGCAACTTTTCAGCAGGTAAAATTAATCAAAAGAAAAAGAAAAAGAAAAAGAAAAAGAAAAAGAAAAAGAAAAAGAAAAAGAAAAAGAAAAAGAAAAAGAAAAAGAAAAAGAAAAAGAAAAAGAAAAAGAAAAAGAAAAAGAAAAAGAAAAAGAAAAAGAAAAAGAAAAAGAAAAAGAAAAAGAAAAAGAAAAAGAAAAAGAAAAAGAAAAAGAAAAAGAAAAAGAAAAAGAAAAAGAAAGGACCATATACTGTAAGATAAGTACTCCCTGCTACAGCACCTGAGGGATTCTAATGGACTCATAGCAACTGACCTAGTAATATACAGGTGAGCATTAAATCTGTCACTATTTCCTCTAGTGGGAATGAGGGAGGTTAAGTTTTTTTCTGAGTTTATCTGTTTTTTCGCCTTATAC